ATAGTCATGCTGCATGTGTATTAAGTGACAGACCTACTTTCTCAAGCTGTTTGTATAGACAGCATCATTGTTGAGCCTTTTTCGTTAACTTTTCATCTACCTCATTATTTGGCAGTTTCAGTTTTCTTCGCTTATGTGACCTTAAATTAAGCAAAACGGTATCCTTGGGTCACTCCATCAGCTCAGCTCCTGCCGCTGGAGTCCAGGCTGTCCGGCAGAGACTGGCGCTTGTGAAGAATAATAGTGCGCATACCTCGGTGTTACTTACTGGGCCCATTCCTTGCCATTTCTCTTGGACTGCTGGAGACTCTTGCTAGCCTGGTAACCATTTGCAGATTTCCAGGATTGCCTAAGCTGTAAAAAAGGAAGGATGTTGGTAGAGATGATGGTTTTTGTGTGTGTTTCGATCCTCCCACGGGCAGGAGGAAAACCAATGATGGCAGCTCAAGGGAGGGAGGGTTCCCGTGCCAGTCTCCAGTATGGACCCAGTGTTCTTTCTCCCGGTACACTTGCTCCCTCACACACAGGCAACGCCCAGCCACCCCTTCTCTCCGTCTGCCTTTCTCCGTCCCTTTGACTTCTCTGCCACTCTCAGTACCACATCGTAGGGGAAGAAGACAATGTGTATTTAGCAGAGAATTGTTTTGTCCATCTGCTTGTAAGGCTAGGGGAAGAAAAGCTATGGATTTTTTTCTAAAATAGGCGCGCGTGCGCGCACACACACACGTATATATATGTGTTTCTTAAATATATTAAATGACTTTCAGGAACTTAGGCTGTCCCTCCTGACCACCTGAAGGAATGGTGCCATGGGACCAATTTAACTAATACATTGGATTTACATGGAGTCAAAACCAGGTTTTTAAACATGTACTAGTTAAACTGACCCCAGAGCACCATTTTTCCATACAATCAGGACTAATTTCCGAAGGCTCTGAAAGTCATTTAGTTAGCAGACATTTTAAAAACCTCTCTAAAGAAAGACTGACACATAACTCAAAAACCGTTAAGAATGGCTTCAAATGTCAGGCCTGGAACATTCTATTATGTGACAGAAGCCATAAGTTTTTCCCCTTTCTGATGTGTAAATGGAAAAACAGCATCCCTAAAACCTGGTACTTTCTGTGAGGAGAGGGGAGAATGATGGAAGTAACAGTTCTCATACTCTTATTTGGCAGATCCCCTAAGAACTAAAGCACAAATAAATTCAGTGACTGGAAGGGAATATTGAAAAAAAAATCAGACGTTTAAAAAAGCCACTTGTTTTCCCTGCTCGTGATTAAAAATAGTACCTTGCAACAGGCCTTATATCAAGGTCTAGCCTCTTGAGATGTAAAGATCATCATATTAGATAGATAGACGAAGTGAAAAAGTGGCTTATCCACAGACACATGCATAGCTATCAAAAGTCTCTGACCACATTCCCAGTGTGGTTTCTGGTTCCTCCAGGGACTGCTTTCTGTTCCGCCAGGATAGTGTGAAGACTTGATGAAGCCATGAAATTCTCTTGAGAACACTTCAAGTCTTGGGAAAAAGTAACTCAGAGCCTTCTTTAGATTCAGTCCGGCGTTAAAGAAAATCCATCCACCTCAGTACTTAAGAAGAGAGATCAGTGATTTCTGAGTGTGTCCTATTTTTCCCTTTCTCAGGTAATAACCACCAGCTCGTAATAAGAGTTGAAAGTTACAATAAGAATACTTGAGTGTGAGAATACTACACTCTGTGCACATCATTCTTACCAGGAGTCTCAAGACTAAAGAACTCATGTGTACTGTGGGGGGGTGGGGGTGGGAGGGGGTGGGAACACCCTGGTTATTTAGTTTTTAGGGATTTGTTTGTTTATCAGAGTTAAAAGTACACACCGAGAAACATCTTGGCACACATCGGAACAACACTGTGTGGAGGACATACCCCGGACAGGGTTCTCCTTTTGCAAGATGTGTATCAAAAGGCCGCCAATAACTTCCCCACCTTGTTTTCATGTCTCACAGAAGGGTGGATGCTTGTTCTTTAAGTCTCAGGTCGGGGAAGTGCCAGGGCGACCGCAGGCCTTCTTTCAAGGCAGTGCGGCGCCCTTCCGAGACCAGCAGGTGCCAACCTGAGCAGGGCCTGTTCCTCTGTCCGCATGGCACTTCCTGATCGGGAAGCATGGATTCATAAGAATATATGGTAAATGGCTAAATGGAAACTTCAGCTCCTTTTCATTTCCTTCGAGGCCTTGCCTGTGTGCTTTAGGACGGGCTCATCCCACATTTCATTTTATCATTCCCGTTCTGTCCCTTGGCACTGTTCCGAGAACTAGAAATCAAGCAGGGGACAGCTGCTGTAACCACTTAGCACAGATCGGGTGGCTCCAAACAACATAAATTCTTTCCTTCACTGTTTTGGAGGCAGGAGGTCCCACAACCAGGGTGTCGGGGGCTGCTTTCCCTCGGGAGGCTCTGGTCAGCGCTTCTTGGCCGTCCTTGGGTCCGAAACCCGTCGCTCCAGGCTCCACCCCCTGGTGTGTCTCCTGTGTCTCTTCTGAGAGGACACTGCGGCCACCCTACCATCGTATGACCTCATCTGAACTAATGACCTGTGCAGGACCCAGTTTCCAAATAAGGTCACATTCTGAGGACATGAATTTGAGGAGGAGGCAGGGAGAAAGCTGGCATCCTGAACTTGGTATTTGTGACCATTTACATTGTTTCTCTGGAGAGCAGTCCTCGCTAAAAAAGAATAGTGGATGATTTTATTAAAAAATTTTTTTAGTGTTTATTTTGGGGGGGGTGAAGGGGAGGGACAGAGAAAGAGGGAGACACAGAATCTGAAGCAGGCTCCAGGTTCTGAGCTGTCAGCACAGAGCCTGACGCGGGGCTCGAACCCACGGACCTCGAGATCATGACCTGAGCCAAAGTTGGACGCTCAACCGACTGAGCCACCCAGGCGCCCCCTACCCACCATTGCTTTTAAGCGTCCAGGCCAATATTCTCCAATAGAAATACATAATGTTAGTGTAAACTTTCTAGCAGCCACCTTACAAAAGACAGCAGGAACAGGTGAAATTGATCTTTAAAAAAAATTGTTTTTAATGTTTATTTACTTTTGAGAGACAGAGAGAGACAGAGCGTGAGCAGGGAAGGGGCAGAGAGAGAGAGAGGGAGACACAGAATCCGAAGCAGGTTCCAGGCTCCGAGCTGTCAGCACAGAGCCCCATGTGGGGCGTGAACTCGTGAACTATGAGACCATGACCTGAGCCAAAGTCGGATGCCTAACCGACAGAGCCACCCAGGTGCCCCTTACTTTAAGAGAGAGATAGAGAGCAAGCGGGAGAGGGGCACAGAGAGTGGTAGACAGAATCCTAAGCAGGCTGACAGCACAGAGCCTGATGCAAGGCTCGAATTCACAAACAGTGAGATCATGACCTGAGCCAAAGTCAAGAGTCAGACATTCAAGGGACTTAGGCACCCAGGCGTCCCTTGATGATTTTATTTTAAAATAATACCTACCCTATTTTAGAATCAGTTTGGTGAAAGCATCATTTTTTTTTTTTTTAATACTGTGGCCCAGTGAAGGACACACAGGACTTTGCTGATACGGACCTCGAGATCTTATCCTTACAGGGTTTCTTAAAGATGATCAGAACAGGGCAGTTTTAGTTGAAATCGCCCCGGGTTCACGTCCTGCTGCTGCTGCTCACTGGGAGGGCCCGAGAGCCCATCTGGATCCCAGTGACCGTCACACCTCCCTGTCAGTCTCAGCCCTCATGCATCATTTAGGGAGCAATTAACCGAGGAAGCCGGATGCCACAGAGTGAAGAAAAACTCCTAAGAGCTGACAAGATTCAGCCCAAACATTATAAAGAATGTTTTGAAGTGTTAGCGTAAACATTTGAAAATACTCTTCTTCTAGAATAGGTCTTGTTTTCTATTCCAAAGCTGAAAGTGCTCATTAGTTTGCATAATTTTTAAAATCTTTCTCAAAGAACTGTAAGTTTCTTTACTCTTAATTAAAGCTTTGAGTAGACTGGCTAATTAGGAAAATGCTGTAAAGAAGGAAAAATAACCACAGAATGGCTTTCCCTCATCCCTGCTCTCTAGCCTACAAGAACACAATAAAATAAAGATGCTAAGACAGTTCAGTGCCCCAATCTGAGAGTGGGATCATGCGTCTTCTAAACACTTCTGTGTATCTTCTGGATAAATTCATCTTTTGAGTGTCAGAGTGTTCATCTTTCTCTCAATGTATGTGTTGTGCTGTGTGTAGCAAACAGAGGACTGTCAGGCTACTTGGGATCAAAACTGTACTGTTGCAGGCTCCAGAAGTTGGCCAGGGAAAAGAACATCATCACTCACTAAAGACTCCATTGCCAGGACTTGGTTATTTTATGTGACATTTGGCTTGATAACACTGCCAGTTCTGTGTGAAAGGAGGAAAAGTAATCGAGTTCTTCTAGTCAGGCATTTGTGGCCAGAATGTGGGCTTTTTGGCAGACCTTAGGTAGGGTCATAAGCAATTCTGCATTTTGCAAAAGGACTCTAAAAACAATTGCAGACTTGCTTTTGGAATATTGACTTCAGAACAACATTATTGTAGCCAAGCAGACAACCTTATTTTTAGTTAAAGCTTGTGGGCGGGGGGGGGGGGGGGGGGGGTTGCAGGGAATTAAACCTAAGAGTATATGAGTTTATAGAGGTTTTTATGCAACATTTATGCAACAGAAACCCCAGGTAACTCAAGAGTTCTCTTCCTTCCAGTGTATGGTATTGGCCTACAAAACTGACCTGAGCCCGAGGTAGATGCTGGTCCCCCATAAGAAGGGAATGTTCTGTCTACCTCTAATAAGAGGGGAGAAAGAGCACAGACCTAGACTTGGCCTTCATTGGCAGCCATTTGAATCCAACTGTGATCATGCTGTGACCTTGCGGTCACTCTACAGCCACTCCTGGACTGGGGATAATGAGGCTGTCCTCTGGGTCCTGCCATTTTCAACTGTGCATGCCTTCTCTCCGTTACAGCCCGAGGAAGAGCAGTTGGTCTGTGATATCACCGGATCCAGTTCTTCCACCGATGACACGGCTTCCTTGGATCGACATTCCTCTCATGGCAGTGACGTATCCCTCCCCCAGATTTCAAATTTGAACAGGTCCAGAGATCAGCAGTGTCTTGACAGCTTCTACAGCCATGGGGCTGGAGCTGAGGGTCGAGAGAGTGAGGGCGAAGCTGCTGGCTCAGGTGAAATGGACGAGGAGGAGATGGACAGCATCACCGAAGTGCCCACGAACCGCTCTGTGCTGAGGGGCTCGATGCGCTCCCTGTCCCCTTTCCGGAGGCACAGCTGGGGTCCTGGGAAGAACGCGGCCAGCGACGCGGAAATGAATCAGCGCAGGTGAGCGGGACCCAGCATGGCTATTTGTTCCATCTCTCAGTGTCTGCTTGCTTTTGATCGTGTGATCCGGTGTTATCCTAGAGGGCTTTGGAATCGGGAAAATCTGGGTTCAGACCCCAGCTCTAGAAATCACTGTGTAGATAACTTTGGGCAAGTTACCTGATCCCTCTGGGCTTTAATTTTCTCATCTGTAGAATACCTGCCTCTCTAAGGATAGGTCTAATAATAAAAATCTCAAGTGAAATATGGTTGCTACATGGTGGGTGTTTAATGAACAGGAATAGTCCTTCAGGCCAGATCTGTTCATAAAATGCTTAGATTAAAAACTTTTGGAGGGAATAGTGTCCTGTCAGTTTTGAAACAGACATGAAATCTTACAGTCCAAATACTCTCCATTTTCACACTGCTTCCCAGGAATTGTCCTCCGTTTCTAATGCAGAAAGTTTTGTTAAAGCCTAAGTTATTACTTAATCAGCAAGAGAACAGGAGAATCATTCAGTGTCATTGAATTGTTGGTAGTTTTCCATGTATGCTCCAGTCTTTGGGGACTTGTGTACATATGACCCGGTCTCAGACCTTCAGTTTGGAAGCAGGCTATAAGGCGGTTTAGAGTTGGCTTCTGACCACAGTCTGCTTACAGGAATTTAAGCAAATGATTTTAGCTCTAACGAACAAGTGCCGTGATGCCCATCAGATATACAAAGTTGTGCTTACAAGAGAGCTACTTTCTTGATGAAGAAAAGCAGCTAAGGGGGCAGGCTGACAGTTGTTTTAAAACAGGTCATGTGAAAAACTCACCTGGAGCAGTTACTGCTTTTTTAAAACAAAAATTCCTTGACATGGCTCAGATTTCATAGCTATAGATGCATGTAATCGGATTACATTCACTCATTTATTCTTTTTTTTTTAAGGTTTTATTTATTTTTGAGAGAGAGACATCGTGAGTAGGAGAGGGAGAGAATGAATGAATCCTGAGCAGGCTCCTTTCTGCCAGCACAGAGCCCGATGTAGGGCTCGAACCCACGAAACCGTGAGATCATGACCTGAGCTGAAACCAAGAGTCAGATACTTAATCGACTAAGGCACCCAGGCGCCCCTCATTTATTCTTTTATTCAGCCAACATACATTGAGCACCCACTATGTGCCAGGCATTTCTAGGTTCTAGAGACCCAGAGGTGAACGAGACAAAGTCCTGCCTTCATGGAGCTCACGGTAATACCTTACACTTTGTTAATTTGCTACTCTTCTCAGACTCTGTTAGTAACAGACCATGTCACATAATTTTCTGTGACTCCACATTGGTGGAGTTCAGGGTCTGCCCTTGAAAACCTGCAGTTGTTTTATCTGGTGGGTAGTTTTTATACACGATCAAAATCATAGATTATGTAAAAAGCCATTTCTAAAAGCTCTCCTTGCCAGCTTTATTCATGCTGTACTTTTTTTTTTTTAAAGAAAGCATCCGGGGCGCTTGGGTGGCTCAGTCAGTTAAGCAGCCGACTTCGGCTCAGGTCAT